CTTAAGCCCAACATCCATTAGCAACTCTCTGACAGGCCCCAGTGTTTGTTGTTCCCCCGCATGTGTCCATGTGTTCTCATCATTCAGCTCCCAATTATAAGTGAGAACATACAGTGTTTGATTTCTATTCCTGCATTAGTTTTCTGAGGATAATGACTTCCAATTCCATCTGTGTCCCTGTAAAGAACATGATTTCATTCCTTTTTACGGCTGCATAGTATTCCATGGTATATATGTACTACATTTTCTTTATCCAGTCTATCATTGACGAGCATTTAGGTTAATTCTGTCTTTGCTACTGTGAATAGTGCTGAAATAAACATACCCATGCATGTATCTTTGTAACAGAATGATTTATATTCCTTTGGGTATATACCTAGTAATAGGATTGCTGGGTCAAATGGTATTTCTGCCTCTAGGTCTTTGATGAATTGCCACAATGTCTTTCACAATGGTTGAACTGATTGTCATTTCCACCAACAGTATGAAAGTGTTCCTTTTTCTCCAAAATCTTGCTAGCATCTATTATTTTTTGACTTTTTTATAATAGCCATCTGACTGATGTGAGATAGTAACTCATTGTGGTTTTGATTTGCCTTTCTCTAATGATCAGTGATGTTGAGCTTTTTTTTAATATGTTTGTTGATGACATAAATGTCTTCTTTTGAGAAGTGTTTGTTCATGTCTTTTGCCCACTTTTTAATGGGGCTACTTTTTTTCTTGTAAATTTGTGTAAGTTCCTTTCAGATTCTGGATATTAGACCTTTGCCAGATGGATAGATTACAAAAATGTTCTCCCATTCTGTAGTTTGTCTGTTAACTCTGTTGATAGTTTTTTGTTGTTGTTGTGCAGAAGCTCTTTAGTTTACTTAGATCCCATTTGTCAGTTTTTTCTTTTGTCACAATTGCTTTTGGCATTTTCATCAGGAATCTTTGCCTGTGTCTATGTCCTGAATGGTATTGCCTAGATTTTCATCTAGGGTTTTTATAGTTTTGGATTTTACATTTAAGTCTTTAACACATCTTGAGTTAATTTTTGTATATGGTGTAAGGAAGGGGTCCAGTTACAATTTTCTGCATAAGGCTAGGCAGTTCTCCCAGAACCATTTATTAAACAGAGAATCTTTTCCCCATTGCTTGTTTTTGTCAGGCTTGTCAAAATTCAGATGGCTGTAGATGTGTGGTCTTATTTCTGAGATCTCGATTTTGTTCCATTGGTCTAGGGGTCTGTTCTTGTACTAGTACCATGCTGTTTTGGTTACTGTAGCCTAATAATATATTTTGAAGTTGAGTAACATCATGCCTCCAGCTTTGTTCTTTTTGCTTAAAATTGTCTTGGCTATTCAGGTATTTGAATTTATTATGTTCATAAAAAAAACCTATATAACATGGATTGAAAATGTATAGTTCTTTTGGTTGAAGTTGAAAAAGTGTGTGTGTACATATATGTATATGTATGTATGTTGCATTTCAACTTTCCAAAAAACACAAGTGATGATAGATGTAAAACTCAGAAAAATATCAGACTCTGAATGGCAAGTGTTATTAAAAACCAAGCGTGTCAAACACAAGGGCATTCAGCTTGGTATCACCTTTCTTTGTTGATGTTCACAACATCAAATAGCTAACAGGTTCCCCCAGTGAGCCTTAGTGCAGTCAGGTCTCCCAGAGCAAAGAGATCATAGAGCAGAGAATAAGGTTACATGGTCTCCCCAGGGAAGTGCCTTCTTCACGCTAGTCTTAGCCTTTCTGAAGGAAATCACTACACGCTGTCCAGCTTGGCTCAGCAACCATGGTTCACAGGGTGTTTGGGAAGACCATATTCTTTGTACAGATCCTAGAGGTGACTATAGAAGCCCCTAACTTTTCTCCAGTGAGGATGGCAGTTATGACCCCATCTAACCTCCATCTGTGGAATGAAACAGTCACTCTTGCATGAGATGACATAGAACTACATGAGTTATGCACTCAGAAGTGGATGTGCCCTTTGTGAGAAAAGTGTAGGGGAAGAAGCTAGAATTCAAGAGGTTCTAGGTTCTATTCCTGGCTTGTCCTGGGTGATCTTGAACGGTTAAGTTTTTGGAGGGAGGCTTCATTTGCTTCATGATATCCCATGGGGATAATCATATCAGCTTTTTTCACCCTTACAGCATTGAAAGGGCATCTAAACTATTGTGTAGCTGCCAACGAGTAAATTAAAAAGGAGTGACTTGAAGTTCTGGGGCTGTGGCACATTCACCACGATCTACCCACAGCAGACTTTCAATTCACTTGCAGGTTCAAAACCCATGAATTCTGAACATCACTTTGTCCTCAGGATTACTGTTCCTTTTCTCCAAAGTTTCCATCCTTTCTGGCCTTTTCTCAAAGTGCAGGCACCCTTCTTCCTCACCTATCCCACAACCCTTACCCCATCCACCCTTCTGGGACCTGGCAAAAATACTTCCTTCTCATTCCCTGTTCCTCATTTGATATGTGAGCTTTTCACAGTGGCAGAGGGATTCTGGGAGTTTCCTCTTCTTGCTTTTCCTTGAGTGACATGTGTACTAGCCCATAGTAGAACATTGGTGGCAGCTGGAAATCAATAATCAGTGTCCTGACCCAAGTGACTTTCCTGGGGAGAGATGCCTGGAAGCATTTAAAGCTGGGCCCATAGCAACTCTGCCCAACTTAGTACCAAGGACTGTGCAGGGCCTTTGAGGACCTCCTGCTTAGCTCCCCCTAAATCAATTTCCCAGCCCAGCAGAGAAACTGGGCAGGGTTGTATTGAATCTATTCCCCTCCATTGCCCCTCACTGCCTTTCCAAATCACATCTGGCTCCCAGCCTCTCTTCCAACCAGTATTTAATCCTCAGTGGTGATCCTTTAAAGAAATTTAATTTCATCCTCCATTCTTCCCTTCCCACCTAACTTTGCCCATAAAAAACAGTCCTGGGAATTTCTAAATTCTGACATCATATAAAAACTTCTTTGTTCTGCAAAGTACTCATTTTCAATGCCTAATCTATCTCTCAGCACCATTCCCAGTGATGCACTGCATGTTCCCGGGGTTTATAGATCTCTCATTTGCTGGCTGCTTCGTACAACAGCTTGGAAGTTCAGCCTTTTAAAAATCAATCTGCCTCTCTGCTTTCTTGCACCCCACCTCACAGTTTGCACAGAATGGCAGTCTGTGCACTGGAGTCGCCTGAAGATATTACTAGCTCTTACTTTTGGAATCACCCTTATGCCTGCCAGAAAACAGCTCAACGCCCTCACCCCAGGCCCACCTGAGCCCACTCACCGCCATCCACGCACTCTCCTCACACACCTTCTGTCCTTGAGTGGCAAGTTCGAAATCCAAGGCACCATCAGAGAGACATAACTAGATTCTTGATAAGTGATCAGGAGGAAGAATATTAAGAATAATAACTAAAGCAACAATTCCATTTGGTATTAAATCTGAGAGGCACTACCTTTTATTGGAAACTTACCATGTACCAGGCACAGTGCAAAATACTTTACCTGAACAATGATTCCCACAGAGTCTTTGGTGGTGGGTACTGTGATTATCCATATTTTCAAATGAAGTTGAGGCATGAGGGAGCAGGCAACTTACTCAAGATCACAGAAGCAGTAAATAATGGAGTTTTGGTTAAGCTTAGGCTGTCTGATTCCAAAGCATGGGCTTAGCTTTGAGAGGAGGATGATTCACCAGGAGAGGAGTCACAGAAAACCATGGTAGCCACATGAGTAGGGCGGAAGATAAGGAAGAGAGCAATTTCCAGAAGGAAGAAGGCAAGCAGTGTCTGAAAGCAAAGGATGCTGGGAAGATCATCAAATGAGTATGCCTTAGAGCGGGGGTCCCCAGCCCCCAGGCCATGGATGGGTACCAGTTCATGGCCTGTCAGAAACAGGGCTGCACCGCAGGAGGTGAGTGGTGGGCCAGTGAGCATAACAAACCTGAGCTCCACCTCCTGTCAGATCACCAGCAGCACTGGATTCTCAAGGAAACGTGTATCTTATTGTGAACTGCACATTCGAGGGACATAGGTGGTGTACTCATAAGAACCTAATGCCTGATGATCTAAGGTGGAGCAGTTTCATCCCAAAACCATTTTCCACCTCCTAGTTCTTGGAAAAATTGTCCCCTGGTGAAACCAGTCCCTGGTGCCCAAAAGATTGGGGATCACTGCCTTAGAGTGACTTCAAGTAGGTTAAATCACTTTGCTAGACCTGGATTCTTCAACAGCAGGATGGTGATGACAGTACATTCCTCATGAACTGTTGTGAGAACAAAATAAAAAATTATATGTAAAATGCTTGGCATGGTGCCTGACACATGGTAAATACCCAATAAATGTTAGCTATTACTATTATTAAGTCTGAGCCGTTGCAAGCTCACAGTGCCTGGCTCAATTTTATTCGGTATAAATAAACATTGTACTAAATCCCTTAGCACACAAGATTCCCATGGCTAGTTCCTTTTCCGTCTTGGAAAAGTTGGGGGAGAGCTGTGATGCCCCAGAGGAATCTTTTCTAGGATGATAAAGAATTCAGCATGTGTGGCAGGAAGCGCTGGGAGTGTCTTCAAATTCATCTGCCTTTACATTTATCTTCTCTGAGTCCACACCTTCTATGTATTTAGTGGCAGACCAGAAATTTGAAGATCCTGAAATTGGATGTGAGTTCTCCCACTTCTGACAGTGCCCACCCCACCCTGAGCCCTTTCTCCTTGCCAATGTCCTGTGTGCTCCTTGGCCTATTACTTGATCCCTGAAAGGGACAAGCTCAGGGAGATCTGGGAGCCTACGGCTATCAAAGAAAGAAAATGCATTCTTTGCTACTTCTGTCTTTGGCCTCAAAGCTGTTTACAGTTGGGAGGAAACTTTTAGTACCATCAAGCCCTCTCGTGCCTGCTCCCTACTTCTCTGCAGACTCAGTGAATCCACCATTAGAGATTTTTTGGTTGGCTGGCAGACTGGGTCTGAAGGAGGGAATCAGACACTTGGAGCCTGAAATGCCAAATGCATCAGTCTAATTTATTCAGACACATTTTCATCTGGGTATTTTCTATACTATCAAACTTTGTATCCTTCAGTGAAGACATTTGTCTTAGCTGAATAAAATCTCTTAATGGTTTAATAAAAAGCACTTAACTCAGTTTTCTTAGTTTTATGAGTGCCTTGAGGTCCTGTAGGAGAGCAAACATCTTTGCCAGGATCATTGAGGGAAACATAATTATTTTTCTGCCTTCTGATATATTATTTTCTGGAAGGAACAGTTCCAGATGCTCATCATATGCTCACAAATTCTCTGCAGCTCCATCGAAGGACAGGTTATTCTCAATGAGGCACTAAGTACTGTTCCTTCTTCCTTCCACAGCTGACCTGCCCATCCCTTCAAAGACATCTCTGCATCTTTATTCCATTCTTTGCTGAAATAGCATCAATACCATTATCATCACCAATTTGTTCTGTTCAGAATAAAAAAAGAGTCTGGAGGTCAGTTAGAACCAAATGCCAGGAGCAAAAAGCCAAACAGGAAATTAGGTTAGTAGAAATTTCATGAGAACAAAAACAATTGAGGAAGGGGAGGAGGAATAAATGGAAAGAAACAGGGAAGACTCAGAGATAAGGAGAGAGAGAGAGAGACCAGGAGAGCCAGGAAACAAGACAGCCCAGGGGAGGGTGGACTCCAAAAGAAAAGAGTGTAAAGGAAAGGGAAGAAAATGTAGTAAATAAGAAAGCCAAGGTAAACTGGAACATAACACATGAACAGCAGAGACACAGCAGGAATCACAGAAAGGGAAAGAGAAAGAGTGGGAGTGTAGCAAGAAAAGGAGGAAGAGGATAAAAAGAATATGTGGGCGGGAGAGAGAAACAGTAACACATTCAGGAATCGTGGATGGTTGGAATGGAGAGTTTCATCAATGGAAATGAGCATAAGGAAGGTTTTCGTTTTTCCAATAAGTAATAAAGGCATGAGGGGTTAAGTGACCTTTTATCCATCTGATCTTCATTCATACAATTGAACAATATTTCTTGCGCACCCTCTGTGTGCACTGCACGATGCCAGACACCAGGGACACAGTGTTGAATAAGGCAAACAAGGTCCTTATCCACAAGGAGCTCACGGTGCAGTGGGGGCATATGGACACGTGAACTGGCCAGCACCATGGGGTGAGGGTTAGGGTAGTGTTGAAATCATCGAAACCTGCAGAAGAGTCCCCGGACAGTCATATGTGTGTGGCATAGGCAGCAAGAGGGGAAGGTGACAGTGTACCCAGCACAGTGAAACACAAACCCAAAGGCCAGCCTCCAAGAACCCTCCAGCCTCAGAGACGCTCAGCCACAGAGCCTGGACTGCAGCTCAAACTTGTAGTTCCCAGCCCCCACCATCTGGCTCCTTTGGAGTTTGGTTTTGAGTCCTTCAAAGCCCGACTTCCTGACAACTCATCTCTAACCTGCATATGAAGGATCAAATCCAATAGCAGCCCCCTTTCCCATCTGTCATGAAATCACTCAGTGTCTCTCTCTTCTCTTCAGGATCAACTGCAAACTCCTAACACCCAGTCCCTTTTCTTTCTGGCCTGTATTTACACTGCGCTCATTTTCCTGTTTTTCGAGACAGAGTCTTGTCTGTCACTCAGGCTGGAGTCCAGTGGTGCAATCTCGGCTCACTGCAACCTCCACCTCCTGGGTTCAAACAATTCTCCTGCCTCAGCCTCCCAAGCAGCTGGGATTACAGGCTCATGCCACCATGCCTGGCTAATTTTTCCATTTTTAGTAGAGACAGGTTTTCACCATGATGGCCAGGCTGGTCTCAAATTCGTGACCTCAGACGATCCACCTGCCTTAGCCTCCCAAAGTGAGGGGATTCCAGGCGTAAGCCACCACACCCAGCCTATTGTGCCCATTTTCTTGCCCACTCCCCTGTCTGCCCATCATGCCCCAACCATACTGAAGTGCTTGCAGGTCTGTGAAGGGGCCTCCATTCTTTTACAGGTAAGAATCTCCTGCCCGCCCCCCCGGCCTTACAGTGCCCTTGATATACACTTTGAACTCACCCTAAGATTCAGCCGAGGTTTCACATCCTCTCCTTCTGCTCCTGAAAAGCTTTCCTCCACTAACCTCTCTCGCTGAGCCTGGGCAGGTCAGGAGTCCCTTTCTCTGGGCCCTCACTGCACCTCTGTCATAGCAGTTACCACACCTGATGTCTTAACCATCTCTTGATCTAGTCTGTCTTTCCTGATAGACTACAGGGCCTTTGAAGGCACGGACTGGAGCCTGGAACATTCATCTGTTCATCACTGGCACCTTGCATAGCTCCTTGCTTACACAAAGTGTTTTATAAATGCTTTAGGGAGCTGACATGAAAAGAGTCCCCAGTGAGCTGAGTTGCAGGCAATCCCTAACTCAGTTTGGAGAGATTGCTCAACCCCTCTTCCCATTTGATACAAGACACATTTTGATCTGCACAATGGAACAGCAGACTTCCCCAGGAGCACCCACCAGGTGAGGTTTCCATTGGGTGAGGTCTTGGAACTTTCCTGATTGTGCTGCTGCACAGACGAAGCCCAGGGAGGGTGACAGGCTTGAATTTCTGCCCTCTTAGTACAAGCCTCACATTTTATAGGACCTTAGAGAAATTTCAGTGAGTTTGGCTCCTATCATCAATCATGAAGGGAGTAAAGGGGTCTCAATGCCTTCATTTATTGCATTCTTTCTAGCCAGTTAATTCATTCATATTAATATACTCAAGTAATAATTATAAAGTGCCAGCCTAAATATTCACCTTCTTAATGCGTCTTCTTGGTGTACATTTATTTTCATATTCCGGGGGTACAGAATGTTACTGTTCTTTGCTGAGTTAACTTTAATCAGCATGTTTCTCATTGGCCTATGGTACCATATGAGCTTATGGTTCCTGCGATTCATTTTATCTTTTTAAATTTAATAAGATACAACTTGGATGGCCATTAAGGGTCTCCTGTTGTGTGTGTAAAAGCCCAAAACAAACATGGATAAAATTAACTCTGGTTTATGATGTTCAGCAAGAAAAGTTTTATCCTAGCCAGGCCACAAAGGCAAAGTCTGGGAAGAGCTGTGTCCATTTTTTCCTCACTTTCCTGTCTCCGTGTGACATACATAATGTGACAGTTAAATAGGTCTGATTGATGTGGTCATCTTGGAAGCTGATTCGGATCACCCCAGTGCAGCCTAGTGGACTTCATGCACTCGTTCTTTCATTCAACAAACATTTATCAAGGGCTCTGTGCTTGCTTGCGTGCCAGATGCTAGCACCTGGAGATGAAAGAAAACTGTGTCTGCCATTGAGAAACTCACAGCTTACATACCCAGAACATGACAATAAACTCACCATTGGTGTGTAGTGTGACAATGCAAGGCAGGGTGTAGCTGGGGAGGCTGAGTGTATCAGGTGGGCTTCACAGAAGAGGTAACCCAACCCTAGACACAATTCAGTTGGGTCTCATACAGAGGAATGACAACCAGAACAGATATTGTTCCCGACTCCCAGCAGAAGGCACCAGGACAGCACTTTCTGGGCAGAAGAGTATGTTTGTTCTTAGAGAAAAGTTCTATGTCAAACCAGACTCCCAGGTTCCTATCCAGGATACCAGAGTGAGGCTGGACCTTGAGGATGACCTGGAATACTGTCTTCTAGTAGTGCTACAATCAGAAAGACACACACAAAAAAGCAAAACCCAACATTTAGCCAATGGGCGATCCCTCCGCAGGCCCACTCACCACCCTCTTTTTCAAGTCAGCCACAAGGATGTAGTCTGATCAGGTTTCTGCTCTGATTATTCTGCCGGGACTGTGTCTCATTCAATTGTGTTGTGGACGCCTCAGTAGCATTAGCCATTCTCAGGGCTGCGAAAATGTCTGTCCTCTCCAAGCAGCAGAGGGGATAATCCCCTGTCTGTACCTGAAAACTCCTCTGATGAGGGTCTTAGTGAGGGAAGGGAGCACACTGGAACTCATCTCAGAATCTTATGCTCAGAATCAACCTTTAGGATGACAGAATTTTCTATACCCCAGGCTCTCCTTTCTGGCACAGATGTTGGAAAGTGTTAACAGTGGCCTCTACCGACCAGACATAGTATTACCACATACTTAAATCTCATCTACGTAATTTCATATTCATTCATTCATTTGTTCACTCATTCACTGAATCAGTAATTTTTCAGCAAACATTTATTGAATATTTATTATATATAAGGCTCATAAGATAATGTTATTCACAGGGTGCAAGGATGAATGCCCCATTCTCCTTTCCCTAACCCCACATTTTCTCTCTCACTGGTCCAGATAATGCATGAAGCTTATAAATTTATCTCTCCTTGGTCTTAAAGAATGCTAATCCACTGTGACAACGCAGAAGGTTTTCAGTTTAAAGTTAAAGATTACTCCTTGGTAGTCATTAACACTAGTAGAAATTAGTTTCTTCTGTCAGAAAAAGGAAACCTTTGGGTGAATAAATACAGAACCATGTAAGTCTGGATTAATAAAAGGGATAAGAAGTGATGTAGGATATGCCTCTAGCATGAGGTAGTGCAATGAGACCCAAAGAGCTAAAAAAGGCCAGGGGGCAATTTGAGCCATTAGGCACTTGGAGAAAAGAGGGTGGTCAGAAAAATGGCAGTATGAATAGTGGCTTTGGAGGATATGTTCTGAATTCAAATCTGGCCTCTCATTTACTAGCATCTGATTTCAGGTGAGCTTCTTAACCTCTCTAATTCTTCCTCTAAAATCCTCATACAACCTGTGGGAACTTGGCTATGAATGTCACGTAAAGTACTCAGCACGGTGCTGGGCATAATGTTAGCATTCGGTAAACATGGGTCAAGTCATTATGACCAGAGAGGAGGAATACACTGTAAAGGAGGCTGTGGAGACAGCAGGGCAAACTCCACCCCTACCTCTTTTTCTTTCTTTCTTTCCTTCTTGCTTGGTTGCTTGCTTGCTTTTTTGTTTTGTTTTGTTTTGTTTTTTGTTTGTTTTTTGTTTCTATGTTCGTTCCTCCCTCTGCTCATCACATTCTCTGGGCCACTTGCTGCCTTCTCAACTTTATGAAGCTCTCCTGCAGCGAGTACAGGCTTCAGGGCACATCCAAGCTCCTGACTGTGCAGCTGGAGAATGGAGCCAAGGATCCGTCCAGAGACGTGTAGGAGGAGTCCTCGGGTCACAGTCAGTTCTGAGGCTGGGAGAAAGGTCTTAGTGCACGTGCACAGACGAGGCCCTGTGGCCATTCCTGCCTCTCCTGCCTCGGCTCCTTCCACTCGGCTGCTATCACCACCTGACCTTGCACCTTCTGGGGAACACGAAGACAGGAGCTACTTCTTAGTATTTATCTAGAATCTCTCCAGAATTCTATTCCGGTAGATTTGAGGTAGATGTGTGGGTGGTTGTGCGTTTTTCAAAATTAGCATGCTCATTAGCTTAGCTCAGAAGTAACTGGGAAATACAGCTACCCACAGCAGCTGGGAGGTTTTTCAAAGCAACCTACCAGCCACCAAGTGTGTCAGAGGGACATGATAAGATCTATAGAAACCCACATATCAGATTCAGGGTTCAGTTGCCTTTGTGAGTCCATAATCAGTGAGTAGCCAAGCAGTGCTGTTATTTTAGCTTGGCATCAACACTATATGTGGGCCTGATCCGACTGTAAACCTCAGAACTCCAGCTGCCACATTCAGCCAGGAGATCTATGTGAGAAAGAGCTGATGGGGCTCATGGGAAACTTGAGAATTTAGGGAGCTGAGTTTGAGGTGATAGGTCACCAGGATTAAAATCCCTAGGGAGGAAAGCCATATGAAGTCTCCCCCGCCCGCTTGGAGAGTCCCCACATGAGCGGCCTAATCATCCTAAGATGGAAGAGACTGAAGCAAGTCAGGTTCTACCTGGGAATACTGCATTGCTGGTGGGGGGAAAGTTGTCAGGGGTGCCCCAGGGAGGGCCCTCTGAATGTATTTTAACCCAATGCTAGGAAAATAATTGCCCCAAATTCCTCAAAAAAAAAAAAAAAAAAACAGAGTTAGACCATCAGTGGAGAGTGCCTTTCCCACCTCAAAGAGGGGCAATTGGGCAACCATTTAGGAAGCCAGAGAGTCAACATGGGGTGAAATCTTGCCAGAGATTGAGAACAAATTTGCCATGGTTTGAATCCCAGCACTACCTTGTGTGTAATCTTGAGGAAGTTTTCAAACTCTTCTAAACCTTAATTTTTTCTGCCTGTCAAATGTAGGTAATAGTGTCAAGCACCTATTGTAAAGATGAAATGAGGTAATATATTTAAAGGGCTTTGCAAAGGTAATGCTAAAAGTACACAGACTAATGTAACCCATATGCCTCAGGATTTACTAGCCTGTAACCATAGTCTAAAGTCCTATTTCCTTCTAATGTCTGCATCTGTATAGTATGAGCCCCACTGGCCTAATTGCCAGTGATCATAAGTAGAATTTAATAAGAGGATGCTGACAGCTTAAGCACAATTTCTAGAAAAAACAAGAGCGGGTCTTACCACAGGGAGGCAGCCACATTATCTTCTTATATAAACAAGGTCCCCTGATGTCCTTTCCACAGCGGCAGGAAACTGAGCCAGGCATGGATCCTCCCTCCTGTCACACACAGTCACCCTGGAGTCTGTCTGAAGGAAAGTGCAGATAGTGGATTTTTTTTTTAATATAGGGAGACCAGGTGCTCCCAAGGGATGCTGGACTGGATAGAATTCATTCACAGACAACAAAATGATTCCCAGGGTTGCCTCTGCCCTACCTCTTCAACCACACCTCCAAGGTAACTGAATGTTTACGAAGCACATAATCAGACAGAGAAATGGAAGCACAGAGAGCTAAGGTGATTCTGTCCAAGGTCAGACCACGAATCAGTGTCTGGCCTGCACTTCATTTCTGCCCTCGATTGCAGTCTGCTTTCCTTCTAAATTCACCCGAGTCCTGCCTGCCCATTCCTCCTCCTCCTTCTCTTCCTCCCATACTAATGTTGCTCCATGTGGACGATATATGCACACATATTGAAAGTTGATGCAAGTTTTCTCACTTGAAAACTGTGTAAGACTGTATGTATAAATTAAGCTTGGAGTTTCTAATTATCCATTCTAAAGAGAAATGCCAATGAAGTGAAAAATCCAAGAGAGCAATTACACATAACCCCAAATGGTTTATTTTTAGTTGAGAATAAAATATAAAATATGTGCCCCTCTATTTGCAGCATATTTAATTTCTCTATTATGCTTTGCCCAAGTGAATTTGCATTCTTCGAGCACCCAGCAAGTGACAGCGTAGGCAGTGAGCCACTCAGAAGCATGCTGGGTGGCAAAGGAAGCCAGCTGGAGATTAAGCACTTGCTCTGCAAAGATCCACACTTAACTGGCCTGTCCCCACCCCCAAGAATGATCAATCAGAGGCCGAAGGACTGAGGAAGGAAGTAAAACACTCTGCTCAGGGAGATAGAATGGACAGGGAACCTGTACCGCCTTCTTCCAGCCCCGTGTTTGTATAAAAGCTGACTGAGTATATGTAGTACCTGCGTGCCTCTGTTAGAACATCCTCCATCTAATTTTCTCCCAAATGCTTTCCTGTCTTTCTTCAGATCCTCCACTTAATCCCTGGCTGGCCCACCCTCAATCCCAAGCCAGCAACATCTTTCTGGGTCTCATATCTGTGTTACTTCTATTGTTCTGGGCTTGTCCATTTTTATTAGATGGTGCACTCCATGGGGCAGGGAGCCAGGTCTCCATGCATTGGCGAAACACTATGTATGCCCAACACTTTATAAACAATACAAACGGACAAAAAAATTGGTTAATGGCTAAGATAAGCAGTTGACACAAAAATCCACATGTAGATAGCATCACAATGAGAGGTAAAAGCACAGATCTCCACGTGAGGTTGCAGGAAGCAAGCTCTTCAAAAAGATAAATGTTACAACCTGGAAAATTTCATCAGCAAAAATATTCTAAGCAGGTTCCTCTGAGTATGTGTGGAACATATGAAAATGGCATATCTCCTCTTACGCGGGAGCTAGAAAAGAAATGTTATTAGTGGGAATGACATATGTGAGCTTCACTCTGAATAAATATACAATGTCTATATATATATTGTATGCATAATAATAACACCTCAAATCTATATGGTGCTTTTCTTCCCAGGAACTAAAAATGATCCATGGTTGTTATTATCTCATTTACCCTTGCAGCTATTTTCCCTTATATTTTGCTAGCATATCATCAAAATACAGAAACATTTAAGAGCCATTCTTTTGGCTCTTCTTTCCCAGGAAGCCCTACCTCTTCATTATACTCTCCTTAAAACGTAGTTAGAGGAAGGAACTAGTAATTCTATTATACAATCCTACAATTTATTCATAGGGCTAGATAATAGTCGCTCCCTGGTGCTGTTATGGGTCTCTAGAGACCAATAGTTATTAGTTTGCTGCCCTCACCCACATTCTGAGCTTCCAGAGTTCAAATTCCCAAAGGGTCACCATTTAGGGCTCTGGTAATATGTCAGGTAATATATCTCTATTGCTCACAGAAGAGAGGTTGCACACAATGCTACTACCTGATAATGCTTTTGCAAAATCAGTTAACAGATAAATCCCTCCACTTCCCAGCACCCCTGAAGAGACTGTTAGGTTTTTGATTGTGAGGTGTAGCTTTGGGAGGATGGGGAAAAAGTGTGGAATGTGGATTATTTCAGACAGGTCCAAAGATGGGAGGCCCAAAGAGCACCAACCTTGGGCCAACCTTCGGAGATCTCTAAGCAGCAAAAGGACACTGGGGACTCTGGATCAGGTGCTCAAAGTATAATATCTCAATGAGATATCAAGATGGGAAAGCGGAGTGGGGAGCACCAAAGTTACCTACATGGCAGTTCCCCCCAAAAGCAACATAGAAACCTGGACAGCGTTCTGAGTTAGGAAAGTACTTTTGCCATGCATCATCTACTTGTGCTCTGGGAAATCTTGTCAATTAGACTCTAGCAAGCCCATTTTATAGATGCGTAAACCTATGCCCAGAGAGACTGTGGTTTTCCTGAGACCACTTGTCCTGTGATCATGGCATGCACTAAGCTGCTTCTAGGCTCTGGGAGACAGTTGGGTGGTCAGTGAGGACTCTCACCTCTTGTCCTCAATTCCCAAGGATGGAATGGAGCAAGAACAAGATAGAAGGTTACCAGACATAGGTGTGTTGATAAATTTGTGGCCACTGGGCAAAATGACATTCCCTTGATTCTCCTACTTGGGCTGCATTTGGTGTTCCTGTTCAGCTCTCTTTTTTGTCCATACCATTGGCTTTAATGTTCCCCTTATCCTGCAGAGGTAACTTGCACTGCACCTTTAAATATCATTTTATTATAGGACTAGGAGGTTTGAGGGGAAGTTAGATACTCTGTAAAAAAATGCCAGTTTTAGTCCTTAAATTGCTCAAATTGCTGATTATTTCTTGGATTCTCCTTTTCATATTTAGGTATTGACAATAAGTAAGTTCGATAAGAACAAGGTTTGTTTTCTTTTTCTCATCCAGGATAGGAAAAAGAATACATGGGAGCTCTCAATTCTATTTCAACAAAGAGTAATTGCTTTCTTAAAGGGAGAAATCTGGATTTTGAAAGATGAACATAAACTTACCAGTTTAATAAAAGAAGGAAAAGAGTATTTCAGGATACAGGGTCCAGCAGGTGCAAAGGCACAGTGGTGCCCTCCCAGAACTGCATGTTCCTAGGACTGTAAGAATTTTGCATTTGTGTGGCAGAAACTTCCAGTAATGGGAAACAATAGGAAATAAAGCCAGAAGAGTATACAAAAGATCAGGATTTTGTGCCAAAGAGCTTGATTGTATTTCTGCCACCCCTGAAAAGCCAGCATGTCTACAACACTTAACACATCATCTCATGAAATGGCATAACCAACCCACCAACACTGCCATGCTTCCTCCCCAAGCCCTTAGATGATGGAGATCATAAGCAGAAAGGGACCATGATCCTTAAATTTACTTTGGCAGAAGGGTGTAAGAGAATGAGAAGATGATGCTAGGGGCAAGGAGACCGGAAGAAAGATATGGAGAAGAGTCTAGATGAGTCGATGGGAACCCATAGGGAAGCAGTGCCAGGGAACAGAGGGAAGGGATGAGTCAGGGGACACAGTGGTGGTGGGAAGGGCTTGGTGACCTGGGTGATAAAGAGCTTGCTGGGCATCCGGGGGCCTCTGGGATTATATGAGCAGCTGGTGCCACAGACTTCCTCCTCTTGAGTCCAGGCCACTTCTGCCCTTAACAAACATTTAGAGAACATTCTCTGTGTGCCTAGCATTGTTCTAAGCACTAAAAGAATTAAGTAATTTAATCCTCACAATAGTCCATGAAGTCAGAGAGGTCACCTAGCTGGTGCGTGGTAGAGACTGGGTCCCAGTGTCTGTACTTCTGACAGCCATGCTATGCTGTCTTTCGGTTCATTTGGTAACATTCAACAAACACAACCCGAGCACCTTCCTACCTATGCAAACATTTTACCCACAGTTCTAAGCACAGCCTCCTCACATAGCATGTTCCCTCTTACCAGTGGCAACAGTTAAAGCTCTCTGTTTTCCAGAAGTTTCCAGACATCCCCATCGACCTCACTCCAGGGCATACATGGTTACAGATGCCCTCAGATCATTTTATTCTCCTTAAGAATGAGCTTAGCGCTCACTGCTCCAATCTCAAGCTTGAGACCGTTCGCTAGTTTGCTCAGGCTGCCATAACAAATCACCACAGCTTAGGTGGCTTACGCAACAGAAACTTCTTTTCTCACTGTTCTGGAGGTTGGAAGTCCAACATCAGCAGCGTAGGCAGGGTTGGCCCTCTCTGAGGCCTCTCTGCTTGGCTTGTGGTCTGTTCACATGGCCGGTCCACTGTGCACATGTACCCCTGGTGCCTCTGGATGCCCTGATCTCCTTTTAGAAGACACAAATCATTGGATTAGGGCCCACCCTAATGGCCTCATTTTAACTTAATCATCTCTTTAAAGACCCTATCTGTAAATACGGTCAAATTCTGAGGTTCTGGGAGTTAGGACTTCAGCATAGGAATTTGGTGGGACACAAGCTAGCCCACACCAGGTGTCTTCTCCCCATCATGTCCATCTACCTGGTTCCTAAATGCAAGTTCCTCCCAAAGATACATCTCTGGGATGATCTCATATTATAGAAATAATGTGCATTAAATTGAAATATATCCAGTATCATGGATCTTTGCGAAAATGGAGAATTTGCGTGTGTGTGTGATTCCTAAAATGATGACCCTCTGCCTTGCTTCCACAGAATGCCTTGTGCGCTGACAGCTCAAGGGGAGGCAATGGTGATAAAAGCATACAGGCTGGCCATGAATCTCCTCATTTTGATGCACTTCATTAAAACCGGCATTTTTTATTACAAAGACCTGACAAAGTGAATATTAGACAGAAATGCATGTTAAGCTGCCATTGATCTTTCCGGGTAGATTGTACATTAAAGAGTGCACTTTCACACTCTGTTAGCCGCTCCCACATAAAAGGGAAGCAAGAATCAAAGGCAAAGTGCTTCAGCCTTATCCCTCCAGCATCACTATGGCTACCCAGTAGGGTCAAGTGGGCAGAATCAGACCAGGGGCAGGAGCCACCCAAATCCCATGTCCAAGGGCTCTGTAGACATCTGGGCCTCAGCCATCTTCTCTGCCCACTTGACCGGCTTTCCTCCATGGCTGAGCGGTCACTACCAGTGCACGGGGTCATTTTTCCCATCCTAGAGCTCCCATTCCCTAGGAAGGAATCTGAGTTGCTCCATTTCTTAGGAACAACAGTTCGGCCTGAAGCGTGCCCTAAACAACATCTCTCCCCTGGGTATTTCTTCATCAAGGGGACAATACTAGTTTTTAAAATTCAAGACGATGGCCCAGAGCACCTCTGGGGGGCTGCTGGTGATGAGCATGTGTGTGCGTGCATGTTGGTATGATGATATTGACAGGAGCAGAAACCAGAAGTTTAATGAAAACAAGAGGAAAATGTATTTGGCAGCTGGGGAGAGAAGCTGGATGAAGAAATCCTGTGCCTGGGGTTTGCTACTGCCTGAGATGGAGTCACGGCTTGTCTTCCTATGGTCAGACAGACAATCCTCACTAGGAGCCTTGTCTGCTGAAATATAACAATTCAGGAGAAGCAAGTGGGGCTTAAATGCTAAGGGCTAATCCTGCCAGAGCCATTTCTTCCTGGACAATCTCTTATTTTAAAGCAGCCACCTCTTTCATCACTACTACATTCGCTGCCTCTGCTCCAAAGCATTCTGTCCTCAGACCCCACCTTAACTTCTACCTCAGTGTAATCTTCCAAAGCCAGGCACCCCTGCTCGTCAGGCACAAAGATAGGCTATGAGACAGACAGTGGCTCTCCAGTGCTGGTCAGTAAGGGCAGATGAGAGACCTGACTCATCCCAAGCCCAGCCAGGGCTGATTAGAGAATCAAGCACCCAAATGGAACCCAGATGACTACATACCCTACTTCCTCCAGGAGTGACTATATCACTCCTTCCAGACTTAACAGCTCCTCCAATCATTGTAAATCTACATACCGCACACATTACAATCATGCGCCATGTAAACACAATTTGGTCAACAATGGGCTGTGTATATGACAGTGGTCGCACATGATTATAAGGGAGCTGAAAAATTCCTATCCTCTAGTGACATTGTAGCTGTCGTGATGTTGTAGCCCAGTGCATTACTCAAGTGTTTGCAGTGTTGTGGTGTAAACAAACCTACTGCACTGCGAGTCATAGAAAAGTCTAGCACATGCAATTATGTACAATATGTAAGACTTGATCGTGATAATAAAAAGCTATGTTGCTATTTTATATATTTACTATGCTACACTTTCTGTCGTCATTTTAGAGTGTACTCCCTCTGCTTATTTTTTTAAAATTAATGTAGGACAGCCTCAGGTAGATCTTTCAGGAGGATTCCAGAAGGCAGTGTTATCACAGGGGCTGACAGCTCTACGCGTGTTACTGCTCCTGAAGACCTTCCAGCAAGACAAGATGTCCAGGTGGAAGACAGTGATATTGATGGTCCTGACCCTGTATAGACATAGGCTAATCTGTGTTTTCGTGTCTTTGTCTGCTTTTTTGATTTTAGAGACAGGGTCTGGCTCCGTCATCCAGGCTGGAGTGTAGTGGCATGATCACAGCTCACTGCAGCCTGGAACTCTTGTGTTCAAGTGATCTTCCTGCCTCCGCTTCCTGATTAGCTAGGACTGTAGGCATGTGCCACCATACCCAGCTAGTGTGCCTTGGTTTTTAACAAAAAAAAAAGTTGAAAAAGTAAAAAAAAATATATAGAAATAGAAAAAAAAAAACCATGAAATGAGGATCTAAAAAAGAAAATATTTTTGTATAGGTGTATCGTGTCTGTTTTAAGTTATTACAAAAGTCAAAATGTCTTAAAAATTTAAGTATATGACATAAAAATGTTACAGTAAGATAAAAGTTAACTTATAATTGAAGAAAAATCCTTTTAATAAACTTAGTATGTCCTAAGTATTCAGTGTTGATAAAGACTACAGTAGTGTATGGTAATGTCTTGGATCTTTACATTCACTCACTCAGTGACTCACCCAGAGCGGCTTCTAGTCCTGCAGACTCCATTCATAGTAAGTGCCCTGTACAGATAGATCTACCATATTTTTAAATCTTTTATGCTGTATTTTTACCGTACCTCTTCTATGTTTAGAGACACACATACATACCACTGTGTTACAATTACCTACATTGCTCAGTACAGTAACATGCTGGCCAGGCTTGCAGCCTGGGAGCAATAGGCTACCTACGTGTGTAGCAGGCTCTGCCACCTAGGTTTGTGTAACTGCATTCTATGATCACACAATCTCCTAACGACACTTTTCTTGCACTAATCCTCGAGATTAAACAACGCATGACTCTACTTATCTTGTAATGAGTACAGACTGACGTGATCACTGGCTCTGTCAAGAATCCCAAATAGAGATTTTTACAAGCTGTGATGCAACAAGCACAGAGATGGGCAGGGAAGGACATAAATGAGTTCATTACTCAGCCCAATGTGTTAACTTCAGTCCTGTCATGATTCATAAGACAGCTCTTCTGTTTTACTAATTGCGGTGTATTTATTGCCCTTCTCTCTTCGCTGACTAACTCAGATGTGTCAAACAAGAGCAGTGAGCCTCCTGTTCCCGACAACACAAACTGACTTCTTCATTCCACCCTGCAGAAACAGCTAAAGTTCCTAGTGCATCCAGCTGCCTTTGTCTCCTCATTTTACCTGACTCTGCAACATTTGGTGGCATTAACCTCTTCACTGGCCAATGGCCATTGAGTTCCCACCTGGTGCCCAACCCTGTGCCAAATTTCAGCCAACAGTGGTGCAGGACATGGCCACTGAATGTCAGGGGTCCACAAGCGAATAGAGAAACAAGTGAATAAACAATCACAAGGCACAGAGATGCATCCTGTTCAAGCGAGGGCTGGAATGAATAAGCCCTACTATTTGATAGCACAATACGGTGACTATAGTCAACAACTTAATTGTATAGTTTAAAGAACTTGCTTGAGTTTTTTGCAACTCAAAGGATAAATGCTTGAAGGGATGGATACTCCATTCTCCTTGATGGACTTATTTCACGTTGCATGCCTCTATCAAAATATCTCATGTACCCCATAAATATGTATACCTACTAGGTAGCCACAAAAATTGTTAAAAATTAAACTATTAAAAATAAAATAAAGGGAGGGCTGGGAATAGCATGGGAGTCTGGAGGAGGCACACTTTTGCTCCTGACGTCTGTGGTGTGCATGCCTTTGAGTGGCAAGCCTTCTCTTTCGACCACTCCCTCATCATCCTCACTCTGCTCTTTTTGCGTTTTGTCTTCCCCTGCAGCCCTTTGCACGCTGATGATCCCCCTATGTCACCTCCTGCCTTCTTTTCTTTTCACTTTATATATTTTCTTTGAACGATCTAATCCATTCCGAGGATCCAACTGTCACCTTTCCACTGGCGGCTTGTACATCTGAACCTGTCTCCTGAGCTCCAGACCCACAAACCAGCTGCTTATTTGAGCTATCTGCAGACTCCTCAAATGCAACATGTTCAGTACTGAACTCCTTCTCTCCATGCTTTACCCTCACAGTGTCTTTTCACAGTGGATCCTACCAGCCATGCCAGTTAGAAATCTCCCTGTCATCCTGCCTCTTCCCTGGTGCCCATTGAGCGATGATCACTGCACATTTTTCCTCTAAAGGGTCATTTGCACTCACCTTTCCATCCTGCTCACTTACCCACAGCAGCTGATGCCCTCACTCTCTCCAGCTTAGACCCTTGCAGTCATCCCCAGGCCAGTCTCTGTCCTTTCAGCCTCAGTAGCACTTCACTCCAGTCTATGAGCCATACTGATGTCAAAGAAATTGGCCCAAAACCCAAGTCCAAAACCCAGGTCTCCCATATTTAAGACCAGGAGACAGATCTCACTTCCCATAGAACCATATCGGAGCTCTTTGCCTACCTTTCAAGCTCTCTCAGTCTCATGCTAGGCCTCCTTTACTCTCTCATCTCCTCTTCTCCCTTCCTCCAGTTACCAGGCAGCCCCAACAAAAGGCCACAAGATCCTCCCCACAGCTCCTCCATGTCTTTCTGTGTCTCCTCCCACCAGCTGGAAAGTGCAGCCCACATGCCAATCTCAGTCCCCTGCTTGGTAAATTTCTGTTTGTTCTTTAGGGTCCAATTCAAAACTCTCTTGTTCTCTGAACCTTCTCTGACCCAACCACACACCATTAACTACCCACTTGCTACTAGTGAGAGCTGTTACTGAGCAAACTGCTATCTGAGGAAACAGTGGGTGTGAGGGTAGTGGCTGCATTCTCATGGCAATCGGGTCTCTCTCAGCCTGTGGTATAGTTTCCCATTTGAATTTCTGCCTCCTGGCAGGACACTGAACTCCTTAAAGGCAGAGGCTGTGTCTTCTTGTTATTGGGACTCAGAGAACCAGGTGCGTCTCTTCCATCCTGTCCTATGTGGCTCCAGACTCTCTGATCATCTCCAGCCAGCAGACTCGTAGGTCCATCACAACCAACAAGCCCCAAACTGAGTTCAATGTCTTCCTCCCCAAATGCTCCTTTTCCTGAGTTCTCTTTGTTGGGTGGCAATCTCCAAACTGAAGGTCATTTTGCCTCCTCCCTCAGGCCTGTTTTCTACCCATTTTACTTCCTAAATGTCTCTCAAGTCTGCCCTCCTCTCCCCTGCCGCCAACATTCTACTGCCTTCAGTGACTGCCACCCGGACTACCGCACCAGCCTCCTCAAGGCCGCCGGCATCATGCTCGCCTTCTGAGAACCCTTCAGAAGTTCTCTTCTACTACTAAAAAAAAAAGAAGTCCCCATCCTGACTACCAGGCTGGCCCCACCTCCTCCTGCTACCGGCCTCTGCCCCAGGCTCTGGCTTCCATGAAGCACTTGCAGGTCTCTGAACACACCATGTTGACGCTCACCACCACGTCTTTGCTGGTGCAGACCCTCCTACCTAGAATGCTCCTTCCCTGGGCTGCTCCTGCTCATGCTGAATACGAAACATAGATATCCCCTTCAACTTTCTCAGGTTCCTCTCCTCAGATTGGATTAACTCCATCTACCCTGTGTTCATAGTCTCCCCGGCATGTCACTGTTGTTGAGCTTACCACAACATCCTACACTCCTTGGGATTAGGAGCCATATTGCATGTAATAAGTGCTCAGTACATGTTGACTAAGTGAACATATTTTGTTAAAGGAGTTTCTAAAGAGAAAGGAAATGAACTAGTGTGTTTATATGCCAGATACCTTCAATGCATCATCTCAATTAAGTTGCACGGGCACTCCACATGGCAAGTATCATTGTTTCCATCCATATACAATTGAGGAAATTAAATCTCAAAGAGGGTACTTACCCTCAGGTGGAAAGGGATTCACATCCACATCTACACTCCATCCCCATCCCCTTTCCCCATTCTGTGCCACCTCCTTCTCTAGAGCATCGGTGGCAAGTTCCCACCCTTGGATATCTCCAGGAACCAAGGTGTCCCAGCTTCCTGGAGATCAAGACACCTTGTCCCACTCCAGTCGTTTCTGCTACTCTGCAAATCTCCTCCTTCATCTCCGCACGTCTGTAGGCATGGAGCTGAGCACAAGCTTTCTCTGCTGCTATATCATATCACAAACTTCTATCTAATTTGCCATTCCCTCTCTCCCTAAGGACATATTTACGTTAATACTTTAAAGGCAAGCATCTCTCCATGAAGCAGGCATGAATTTATTTTTCACTAGCATTCATATTATGGGAAATGCAGTGCTTTATATATTCACGAGTAATTTCTTTGCCCAATGCAGTTCAAAATTCAATAAATGCTGTTTAAGCTCAAGTCCCCCACTTGTAGGTCAGAGAGCAGCCTCATGGGGGTGGGAAGAAAATTCCCACATATTTCCTTTTCCTCTTCCCTGCACTAGCGCCCTCTGTCCCCTATGATATCAACGTTTAGTGCAGCTGTCACTAGTAATCACCATGTCAGCTACACTTTCTAGCCCCTGGGTCTAGGTGGCCTCAAGACTCACACCTCCAAAAACTCATGGCCATCTCTCAATGTCTTCCTGTGCCAAAGCCCATTGAACATCTCCCCAGTGGGCTGACATCCCCCGCTAGAAAGGTAATTCCTCTGAGTTAAGCATTGCCTAATTCTTCTGTCCTCTTTTAAAATGGAAATTCTCCATGGGGTCGCCCACACCTTAACTTTACCAAGTTCATTGTTTGATTGGAAACTAGGTCAACTTGTGATTTGTTTGAGAGTTTTAAAAAACATAAGGGGGCAGAAAGCAAAATGCTCTGTTTTTGTCACTAGTTTAAGGTTGGCACTTGCTGGTGGCGTGAGAGAGGTGGAGGGTAGGCAGAGCGAGAAGCTGCCTCTGGTCCACACTGGGAGACAGTGGATGTCACCCTTGGGCAGACCACATTCGCCCAGCTCTGAGGGCAGGACTCTAGCACACTTAGGAATATTAGTCCAGGTCTGTTCTCCGCATTGAATGATAATTCAGTAAAATCTCAATTAAAAGCAAGTCATAAATCACATTTAATGTTGCCCTGATGGGTCGAATCTAATATGCCAGGCCTATTAATCATTTGCCAGACCCTGGAATCCCAGCCT